TCACTAAGTCACCAAGTTGTCCAGGTTGGGCTCTAACTTGTGACCCTCCTGCTTTAGCCTCTCTGTATGCAGAGATTATAGCTGTGCACTTCACATTTGGCTATTTCCTTGAATTGTTGACATTACAATTCCCTGTGCTCCCTTTCTTTAATCACCAGCTCATCCGTGTCATAAAACAAACAACATAAAACTAAAAATAAAAGCAACATAAAGCCATCTATCAACTAAAGTCATTCCAGTGGATGAATGATTAATAGTCTGGTTGCAAATCATGAGACAACTGTTTGATACCCTCTACCTGTTGTTTTTTGATTCTTACATTTATTCTATAAAGTTCTCACATTGAAAAAGTATCTTTTATGGCTGGGGATAGAGCTCAGTGGTACTTTGCAAGTACAAGGTCCTGAGTTCGATTCTCAGTACCACCTTCCCCCAAATCTTTTAAATATTACAGTAACTACTTAACAATTTTCTACATAACAGAGACATCCCGCAAACTTCCAGTGATGTAAACCTTTTGAGACACCTTCCGTTGGTGGAAAAAATAGGTAAAAGCAGTGGAAAGATACGTGCACCTGACTCCTCCCTGTCTGCACCGTCCACCTGCTGAGAAGTGCCTTCCTGCTCCTCCCTTGATATGATCCTGCTTGACATGACCACAGCCATCTTGGGAACAACTGCGAATTGCCAGCCAGGTGACACTCGGGCCCATCCCAAGCGCTGTGGGATAAGCAAAGTCCTGAAGACAGTCAGCGGATTGTGCGCTGCTGGCTGCTGGCACCCGGGCTGTTTCTTAACCCACATCTGACCTGTGACGTATCAGTGTCTGAGAAAAGCCAGGTACTTTCCAGTTGGCTGCAGCCCCCCTTTGTGGAGCTCAGCTACAAACTCCTTTTTCCTGTTTTGGGGCACAGGGATCCTCCTGCCTGCTGCCATCCAAGGTACACTTCTTTTTAAATTCTGGTACTGGAAAGTGAACCCAGAGCCTTTAGTGAGCAGCATTTTCAGCCCTTTAGTTTTTTGTTTTGAGTCAAGATTTTGTTAAATAACTAAGTTGTCCAAGCTGGATTTCAATCTGCGATCCACCTGCCTCAGCCTCCCGTTGGAGGCGTGGGCATCACGCCTGGCTCGCAGGCTCTCTTCTGTCTGTAAATCCCCAGTGAGGTGTCCTCTGCGAGTCCTGGCTTTCTCTGCCTGTCTTCTGTCTCTTAGCGCCTTTCCCTGTGAGCGACCAGCTCTCTCTCTCTCTCACTGTCTTTTCCAGACCCTCGCAGTGCTCAGCAGGTTCCTGGGCCCCGCCTGCGGCACTGTCAGATCATGTGTGACCCGACAGAGCCACAGGGAGATGCAGAGGATCGGCTCAGTGAATTCCAACAGAGGCAAGGCCTTGGCCGCAGCTGTGGTTCTCAGAGAGCAACCGTGGGCGGCCTCAACCCCCAGGGAGACGAGGAAGCCACCAAGAGGAGGGCGGCAGATTTGCCGAGAGAAGATCCCAGGACCTCACCCCTCAGGCAGCAGCAGCAAGGAGGGACGACGTGGAGGGGAAGCCAAGACACACAGGCCCCGACCTGCTCAGGCACCAGTGGGTGAGCCCCCACTCACAGCCCCCTGTTGGCACGGGGTCCCAGCAGCCTCCTCACACCTGGCTCTGCCGCTGTGGGGCTCCTCCACTCGGATGCACCCCACTGGTTTGCCCTAACCTGCATTTTCTTTTTGGCCTTTCAGGTCTTTTGCATGTGGGGTGGGGACAGGGTACATCCCATGCTCTGTGGACCCCGGCCCTCCCCAGGAGGAAGAGGCGTCAGTTACATTTTTATCCTTTTGTGGGTGCTGCTGGGCGAGGGTTTTGTAGTTACTCCTTGGGTTATCCTTGAACCCAGCAGAGCTGAGTGCCCTGGTCTCGGCGGGGTTCTTGTTCTGCCCTCTAGCCTTTGGCTTTCATGAAACAGGGACTATCTTGTGACCTCAGCGTCCCTCTTTGTCTCCTGGGACAGAAAAGATGCGATAATGTAGTGACAGTCTGCACACAGGCAGGGAGGGGCTCTAACTGATCTTGGGAGATCACTACGGAAATGCCAGGTCCTCCCAGCCAGTTTGGAGCCTCAGGGCCTGGCACGGCGGAAGCGAGGCCCAGTGAGTGCTGGGCTGGATGGCACATTTGGGGAGGGGCTGCAGCCAGCCACATCCAGGTGACATGCGCCCCTCATCCCAGGAACGGCTCTCAGGTTGTCTGCGCCATGATGCCTGAAACACGCTCTGGAAAGGACACAGTAAGGACAGCAGTGGCGAGCGCCATGGCACAAGCCTCTGATCCCAGCCACTTGGCGTGGGGCTGGGGAGCACTGAGGTGGGAGGGCTCAAGTTCAAGGCCAGCCTGGCAACATAGCGAGACCCTGACTCAAAAGCAAGCAAACAGCCCTCAACCGGGGTGCCTGAGCCTCGAGGCCACACTGCCCCTGGCACCTGTGAAGCACCCTCCACACCTGTTCATTAGTTTGGTTCTCCCCACAACAGGTGGGTGCTGGATCCCAATGAATCTGGCTGGAGGCTTGCACTGCTGTGTACCACCAGCTCCCCATGACCCTGTGTGAGGTTTAAACCCGTGTGAGGTTCAGATTCTTACCTCACGAGCATGGGTGGTGACAGACTGAATGAGTGAAGTCACAGAGAGATGGCACGGAGTGATTGCTCAATGCATCGTAATTTTTGTTTCTTCCCCAGCAGCATGGGGGATTATGAGCCCAGGGCTTTGCACCGAGCTACATCTTCAGCCTTTTTAAAAGAATCTTTAGGTGGTGCCCATCGATACAGCACAGACAGAGCAAGCATTCCATCAGCTGTATTTGAGAGTCTTTATAACAAAGTGTGGGAGATTTTAAAAATTCAATTGATAAAAGTGTACTTTTTGGAAGTTAGGGGAAATACTTTAAAAGTAATAAAAACAGACCAAAGAAAACAAAAATCTTTTTTTTTTTTTTTTTGAGGCAGGGTCTCGCTGTGCAGTTCCGGCTGGCCTTGAGCTCACTTTGTAGCCCAGGCTAGTCTCAAACTCACAACGATCCTCCTACCTCAGCCTCCCAAGTGCTAGAATTAGAGGCATGCACCACCATGCCTGGCTCCAACAATCATTTTTGTTGTACATAGAAAAAAGACAAAAAAACCCACTTAATGCAACCTATTTAAAAAAAAAAACAACTTTAATTTTGACACAAGTTCTTGTTAAATTGCTAAATTCCTCAGACAGGGTTCAAACATCAAATCCCCCTGCCTCAGCCTCCTGGAGTGCTGCAGTGATGAGTGTGCACACGAAATCTGGCTCATGGATGATAATTTAAGGAAGAAGGAGAAGGAGAAGGAGGAGGAGAAGAAGCGGCCATCTGAGGCAGGCTGGGAGAGCTGTCCTAGCGCCAGTTTTAAAGTTGAAGTGGACTGGCCAAGGTCCCCTGACCGATGGGACAGGGAGATTAGGGTCCCTGGGTGTTTCAGTGGCTGAGGGACAAGCCTTGGGGCCACAGGGCTGCCCTCCGCCCAGGCTGCTCCACTCGTCCTCGGCCATGTGACACTGTGTCCCCCTCGGCCTTGTGACGTTGAGCAAGTCCCTGAGCCTTAGGTTTTCCTTATCTGTAAGATAGGGCTGGCTGTCTATTCCTTATCTGACGACTTTGTTAGGGTTTAGGTAAAAGCAGAAAGCTCTTTGCAAACAACCTTTCTTCCTGTGCAGTGAGAAGCGAGCTTCCACAGGCTAAGCCGTGCCCCAGGTGAGGAGGGCAGCTCCCACCTGAGGCTGGGACAGATGGGCCCGAGACTCCCAAGGGACATTGGCCTGGGGCCCCTTGAGTGCTGGGGCCCTGGGCTCTGCTCCCTGGGGAGGTGAGGGACCTCAGGACGACCCTGGCGGCAGGCCCTAAAGGTCAAAGCTCAGTGGTTTCAGGTCTCGGTAGAGAACCTGGGCCTCCAGCACGGCGGGGGCAGTGGAGAAGCTGGAGGTGAGTGGACCTGCGCTCAGGACACTGTGGTCCCTTGTGGCAGGAGCCAGGGTGTCGGAGTGGTTAGGAGGCTCCTCCCGTAGGCTCCATAGGTGACCCCAAGTATCAGCACTTGAGCAGGAGAGGGAGGCGGGGAAGCTGCATCTGCTGAGACTCAGTTTCCCGCTAGCCCAGCAGGAGGCTGAGTCCTGCTGACGGATTCTGTCCTTGTGTGCAGGGGTAAGTGGTGGAGTTGTAGGTTCAGGCGGAGGAGAAGGGACGAGGCCCAGGACCTCTGCTCTGTCCCCATAGCTGGCCAGACGGTGAAGGGATTTCACTGGACAGACAGAGGCTGTGCTCAGGGCAGGTCGGGGCCACCCAGTGAGCCACGAAGTGCTTACAGAGCTGGGGACAAGGTTACCTCCCTGAGCCCCTCACCAGCCCATTCTCCACCTCGTTCCTGGCCTCCAGGCCCTCAAGGTACCTCCATGCTGCCCATTTCAGGGAGGAACAGCCAGTGCCTCAGTTTACCACTGTCTCTAACCCATCGCTGGGCCAGAGGGGGTGGAGGTCAGAATCCACACCACGGCCATTCGCTGAGCAGGCACAGCGTGCTGACTTCACCTAACCGGGTCCTCACAGATGTTTGAGGCCCGAGTTGCTCAGAAGGGGAAACTGAGCAGAGGAAAGGAGAGTGGATCATTGGAGGCCAGAGCTACCTGTGATAGAGTCAGGATTCACCCTGGCCCCTGACCCCAAGGGCTGCCGTGTCCACACCTCTCATCCACAACTATGGAGCCAGGGGCTGCTCTTGGGTCTATGTGCCTCTCATTCTACTTGGCTGCCGCATGCAGGCAAACTGTATCTCCCTGTGCCTCAGTTTCCCCATCTATAATACAAAGCACTGAGCCAGGCATGGTGGCACACAGCAGTAATCCTAGCACTCGGGAGGCTGAGGCAGGAGGGTTGCCACAAGTTTGAGGCTAAATAGTGAGTTCATGGCCAACCTGGACTACATAGTGAGACCTTGTCTCAAAAAGCAGAAATAGAAAACCAAAACTAAAACCTAACAAAGCAAAGTGCCAGACTCAGGGGATCCCCAGGACCTGGACAAGCTTCAGCCTTTTGGGGTTCTTCCCCAGCCCACACTCTGCTATTGAAGCTTGCAGCTGAGGTGAAGGAGGACCTAGATGTTAAAGATGGGGCAGTGAAGCCAGAGTGCCTGGGCTCAAGCGATACCTGTGTGACTTCAGGTAAGTCTGTAAAGACAGTTGTGAAGATTAGATTAAAATTAAACCACAGGATCCCCTCAGAGCACACAGTAAAACTGTATTGCATGTGTGATTTTTATCCATGTGATGAGATGAAATCCCACTCCTGGCTCTTGGTCCTGTCTAAGCAGGGCTCCCATTAGCCCTGGATAGCCTGTGACCCTTGCTTCCCAACCTCAGATGTCTTGTGGACATCTGTCTTCTGCCCCATCAGCTGGCATTGATCTTAAAATCCTCCTGCTTCAGCCTCCCGAGTGCTGGGAATACAGGTGTGTGCCAGTGTGCCTGGCCCCACCCAAAATTTTAAACCCCTGGAGAGAAGGGAAAGATAAGAACACATGTTTTCTAGAATGAGGAAGAATCCTAAAAGAAAACAACAGTTAAAAAAAAAAACAAAACCTACTCACGGTTGCCAGTGGCTGCGCGGTGAGGTCTCGTCTGGGCTGCCTTGAGTCCACCTTGAGTCCACCTTGAGGGCTGGCCCAGGTCCCCCACAGAGCACCGCTAAGCCGCTGCCCTCCACCAGATTTCTCTTGCTTTTGTGCTTTCCCACAGATGAGTGAGTGTGGAGACCTGGCCTTCCGTCCCGTTACCACTTCCCCTCTGGGCCTCGGTGCCACACGGTTCTTGCCCTGCATGTAAGTTCTTCCCCATCGAGAGCTCTAGCCCGGGTGGTGCATGGGCCTGGGCCCTGAGTCAGGGGACTTGGTTCTAATCCAACCTAGATGTTAAGATGCTGAGCGACTCGTTAACGTCCCCAACGCTCTGCCTGCTCATCTGCAGTACAGTGACAGTGACGAGGAGCTCCTTCCGCTCTGGGGTCTCTGTCTGCCAGAGCCTGGAAGTCCCACTGCCCAGGGTGCTCAGCAGACAGCAGACATGAGTTATGGGTACTGGTGGGGTAACAGGGAAGGGGCACTTGGGGAACACAGCTGCCAGCCCCAGGGGGCTGCAGCCAAGCCCTTCACTCGAAAGCTCGGGCTGGCAGGTGTTCTGAAGTTCTAGCGGGCGAACTCTGTTTCCCAAGAGATACTAAAACGCCTGACTGTGATGTGGCAGCTTAGCCCACCCACAGTACCAGACACTAAAAACAAAAGCTTCAGTGTCTGCCACGCAAAGCAGCATTTCCGCTGACGTCTGTTAGCGCTGTGTGCCTCAGTACCCGCTCTGGCTAGGCAGGCATTACACCCCACAGGGACCTAAGTAGTTTCGCACCTATTATCTGGTAAAATGTTTCCGGAGACCCTTCTGTGTCCTAAGGACACAAAACTGAGGGTGATATGGTTTTGCCCTCCTGGCCCCTGGCCTGTGATCACCACAGCAGACTTCCTCACTAACTGCTCACTGTACCGGGGACCCTGGGGATGGTTGGGGGCAGTGCTTCTCCAGGAGGGAGAGCTGCCACATTCAGCGATTTAAATATCAGACAGGCGCATTTGACAAGAACCTGTACAAAAAGTTCTTTGGGTTGGGGGTTTAGTGGGGGTGTAGCTCAGTGGCACAGACTCTTGCCTGGCAAGCGTGAGGTTGTGAGTTCGATTCCCAGTATCACACACACACACACACACACACACAGACACACACACACAAATTGTCATTTGGGTCTGGGTATAGTGGCACATACTTGTAATACCAGCACTTGGGGGGCTGAGGCAGGAGGATCTCCATGAGTTTAAGGCCAACCTGGGCTACATAGTGAGTTCAAGGCCAGCCTGAATTAACACAGTGAAATCCTGTCTCAAAAAACCAAAAATAGAATAAAATTTAAGCGCTCACTTTGGCAGCACATATACTAATAAAATAAAAGTTATTTGGGACTGGAGTGTAGCTCAGTGTAGAGTGCTTGTCAGGCTCCAGGGTCTATCTCCATACCACCGAAAAAAAGTTATTGGTTACTTACATGAAACTGAAAGTTAACCAATTATTGTTTGTTTTATTGACCACCTTACTCAAACAGGAGATTTGGTATACCAGGATTCTTGTTTTTTTGGTTGTTAGTCCCCGGCAGGGAATTCTACTGACATCTAGTGGGTAGAGGCTGGGAATGCTGGTCAGTGTACACTGCGAGGGCCTCTGGGCAGCAAGGAATGACCCAGGTCAAGCCATCAGTCAGCTGGTGTTGGCTGAGCTGCTCTGGGCAGAGCCTGGCCGGCTCCCTTTGGTGTAAACCCAGTCTGCTGAGGCTGGGACGGTGTGGGTAATGAGACCCTTTGGGAGGTGACAGTGATGGTCTCAGCTAACAACAAGGACCGGGCAGTGAGGAGTGGGACAGAGAGTGCTGCATGTCAGGAGGGGACAGAGAAGACCGGGGAGCAGGGGAGGGGGCCCGCGGCCTGGCCACTCCCTTCTGTAGAAGTTCTGGGAGCACAGAATTGAAGATACCAGACTGAGCCCAATGAGGTGCAGCTGCTTGTCCTAATCCCAGAGCTCTGGCCTCAAGGAAGCCCCGCCTCGGGGCGCGAGGGGGAGGCTGTCACCTCCCCAGGTCCTGGCTCTCCTCTGAGGCTCCGCTGTGTGCCAAGTCACTTCTGTTGTCAGGTCTCAATTTCCCCATTCCTAGAATAAGGAAGTTGGCAAGAAGAGGCGTTTCCCTCTGCTACGGAGTCACCCTGAGAGCCTGTTGAAAAACAGATTGCTGGGCCCCATCAGAGATTCTGAGTCCACATTCTGGGCCCCGGCCCAAGAATCTGCATTTCTGAGGCTCCCGGGGCGTAGGCAGCCAAAACTGTGAGGCCTGGGATGCAGCTTGACAGCCCTAAGAGGGCTGATAAGGGCGCTCCAGGGTGTCCAAGGTCCCTGAAGAACCTGGGTGGGGGTTCTCCCGCCCCTGGCACCTTGACAGTGAGGATCTTGGGGGCCCTCAAGCGGCCTCACCAGCCCTAGCACTGAGAGACGCTGCCATCTGCTGGACGCTGTCTACGTGGTGCACCTGAATCTTTCTAGGACTCTGTTTCCGGTATGGATGATGGCTCGTGTCTGCAAGCTTGGGGAATGACAACCTTTCACTGAACTGTTGCTATATTTTACCTTCAAAAAGCCCGGTATTGAAGCCAGAGGTAGTGGCACACACCTGTGATCCCAGCTACTCAGGAAGCTGAGGCAGGAGGATTGTGACTTCACACCTGGCCTGGGCAATTTAGCAAGACCCTGTCTTAAAAATAAAAAGGGGGAGGGGCTGGGGATTTAGCTCAGCGGCATAAGCGCCTGCCTTGCAAACAGGCAGTTGTGAGTTCAATCCCCAGTACCGATAAAAAAGGAAAAAGATTAAAAAAGGGGGGGGTATTTTAAAAATTATTTAAATTTTTATAATACAAATTTATAATGTATGCATATATTTACCATGTGTGACAGAGGTCTTGAACTATGTAAATTATAGAAGAACTAAAGAACCTATTCGTTGCCTCATGTGCTTATCATATGGTTTCTGTGGTGAGACCTGTTTTTTCCGGTACTGAGCCCACACCTCTCTGTTGAGCTATATCCCCAGCCCAAAGAATAGGTTCAGTCCTCAATATTGAAAAAACAAGAAGTCATTATGTTCAAGAAGACATTAGTTGTCATTGGGCATGGTGGCACTTGTTGCTAATCCTAGTGCTCGGGAGGTTAAGGCTGAGTATCTAGTAAGAATCTGTCTCAAAAAGCTGTTTTAAAAAAAAGGGTAATTTACTTGTTAACTGGGGCTGCGGATATAGCTCAGTGGCATAAGAGCCTGCCTGCCAAGCGCAGGGCCCAGAGTTCAAGGCCTGGTTAAAAAAAAAAAAAGCCAACCCCCAAAAAACAAAATAAAACAGAAACTTAGTTGCTTATAATGATGTACAACAGCTCTTTTGCTCTTTCTGTCGAATTCAAATTGAATCCTTCAATCAGCATCTTCCCACCCTCCAGTTATTTGAACTCGTTAAGCATAGATGTGGTGATCATATTTATATGGAAAAGGATTTGTCATCATTAGAAATATTTTACTGCAGCCCTCTTAGATGGCTCCATAAGGCATTCTTTTTGGGTAGCGGAGGAGACAGGGTCTCACTACATATTCCAGGCTGGCCTCGGGATCACAGCAGTCCTCCTGCCTGTGTCCCGAGAGCTGTGATTACAGGTGTGGGCCACCATGCACAGTGTTGTGGGTGTTTTGTTTTGTTTTCCTGAGACAGGGTTTTTCTCTGCTGTCCAGGCTGGTCTCAAATTCATAGGCTCATGTGATCTTTCCACCTGAGTCTCTCAGGTAGCTGGGACAGCAGGTGGCTGAGGAGAGCAGGTACACGTATCATAGGGGCGTGGCCACGGACAGCCTCTGGACCTAGACTGGACCTGTCACCAGACAGGGGCCGAGGAGATCCATCAGAGAGGAGCCGAGGACTTCGACTCAGCCTGCCAAGTAGTTTCCTGACTTGTCACAGAAAAGAAATTCAGGACACGGCAGTGAGAGGCATAGAAAAGTTTTATTAGGTACAGTTAAAGTGCACATTCAGAAAATAGGCTGCAGGTCAGGAAGAGAGACAGACAGACATATGGTTTTTAGGTGGGAATTTGTGAAATCTGTAAATTTACAGAAAGCACAGGCTTAATGTACAGGTAAAATGAGAGGACAATTTACCTTGGCAATTAAATTAATTTATAAACATAGTATCATTAAAGGATTGGGATGTGATGGGCCCGGAAGAAGAAAAGACACAAACAGACCTAGGGACTGCCAGGCATGGTGCAGCATGCCTATAAACCCAGCACTCAGGAGGCTGAGGCAGGAGGAAAGCCAGGAATTCAAGGCAGCCTTAAGTATAGAGGTGAGTTCAAGGCCAGCCTAGACTGCATAGCGAGACCCTATCTCAAAAAAGACCAAAAAAAAAAAAAAAAAAAATTAAAATAAAATAAAATAAAAAATTTTAAAAAAGAAAGAAAGAAAAGAAAAGAAAAAAAGGGACTGTAACCACCCAGGGAAAAACCTAGGAGCTATAGATCTGGATGGCTTTGGAGAACTTAGTGTCCTAAAGTTGCAGATTTTTCATTATGATTTTTTTTTTTTTTTTTGGTTGGTACCAGGGATCGAACTCATGACCTTGTGTTTGCCAAGCAGGCACTTATGCCGCTGAGGTACACCCCTGTCCCCCTAGTTGCAGGTTTCTTGAACATATAATTTACATACTGCGATTTTCCTGGTCTCCTTCCCGCCTGTGTTCCTCTCCTGCCCCAGAGCTCCGCTGGAATCCTGGAGGGGAGAATCTGCACACCTCCTCCCAGGAGCTGTCCTCTTTCTTTCCCTCTCAGGTCCCTGGAGGGGAGGGCCGTGGGCACTCTCATGGTGCGCAAACTGGAATTTCATCCGAATCTTGGGGAGAGCTGACTGTGGTTTGAGGGGGCCTGACAGTCGCATTTCCAGCCAGCTCCATGTCCCTCCATGTCTGTTTCAGTCATTTCTACATCCTGGTTGTCCAGCAGTAGTTGGTACATGTCAGGTGCTCAACTAATACCTGTCCGGCGGAAGAATGAATGAAGCAGATGGCCTGGGAGCGGTTACATAATGCAGCTTACCCCTCTTATGCAGCCAGCAAGTGGCAGGACTGAAATTCAAACCCAGGACTGGCACTCTGCAGCTAGTGTAACTTCTGGGCTGTAACTGTCTCCTTCATTCAACAAATATTTACTGAGAGCCTAAACTTGCTGGGCATTGTGTTAAGTTCCAAAGTGAGAACAGTAAATAAAATGCACAAAGCTCTGGTCCTTGTGGTGCTGCATCCCAGTATCTTTCCACATGAAAAGAGATGTAACCTTTTTCTTTTATTTTTTTTTCTGCAGTACTGGATGTTGAATCCAGGGCCTTCAGACAATGCCAGGTACTCAGCCCTTTTCTATTCTTTATTTTGAGACAGGGTCTTGTTAAGTCACTAAGTTGCCCAGGCTGGGCTTTGAACTCATGAATCTTCTGCGTCAGCTGGGATCACAAGTGTGTGTCACCACATCTGGCTGAGATGCAGCCTTCTAAGATGAGGCCTGTGTGCTGACCCTGCTACTTACCTACTTACCTG